AAAACACACAGGCATTTATGAATATAAAAACACAGGAGTTATTGCTGAGTTACATGTTTTTATGCAAAATCTGGCACTTGGCTTTATGAAATAGCAAGTTTTGTCAGAAAAAGAAGTCTGACTGTTGGAGAAAGGATTATTTTCTACGAAAAACTCTTATGAAAGAATCAACTTACAGCAGACAAACTGCAACATACAAAAGTAGTTGCAGTTTGTCTGCTGACCTCTTCCTCTTCAAACGGTCCTCAGAAAGCTACGAAAATCAAATGTAGAAACAGCTTGAACAAGACATGCTAAATGTGAAAGCTGGTGAGGGAGCAATTTTTAGACTGAAGGGACAGAGTATTTGGTCTGAAACTGGGTGCTCTGTGACTATTCGAGTCAGAAATGCGCTAAAGTGAGAACACTTTGTATTTTTCTTGTTTTCTTGTGCATGTGTGAGTTTCTGCAGCAGCGCAGCTGACCCTGTCTGCTTTTAGAAAGAGTTTTGACTTCTCTGGAATGCAGTAATGTACAAAAAGCTTTCAGATGGAAGATGAATTGTAGACTCCTCGGTATTCAAATGTTTGAAATGAATTGTTGTCATGAGTTAAATTCATCTGTTTTATGGACTGACTCATAATTGATGTAATACTCCATGTTTCATTTTGCAACCCTGACCTCTATCCCCCAAATACTTGGATGAACACTGTGTATAGTTGAACGCGCCAACTCCCTTTCATGATATCTTAATAATATTTCATTGAGTTGATTGCTTTGCAGCCTGAGAACATTTCCAGCACGCTCCTGTCCTCCTTTCTGTTGCTTTCCACAGAATAAAGGTTAACTCAATGTGATTTCTTTTTTTTTTTCTTCCCCTCAGGATTCAAGCTGAAAGACTTTTTAAGAGACGACGAGACTCTTTCTCACTTTCTGCACCACAACGCATCGCTTTCTCATCACACGCTGAAGCAAATTTTGGAGGCTGATGTAAATTTGGAGAAGGTAAAATGAATTATAAAATCCTATAAGAAAATCGTATCATCACCGAGTTAGAAATTCCAATTTTTCACATATGAAGCAGTGATAATCCCCCCAAAGCAGTGGTGCATAAATCTAATGACCTTGGCTTTACCGCATCTGTTGGTCCACAGGATTCAGCTGGAGCACAGCTAAGCCTTTAATACCCAGGGGAGGGATCACATTGAGGCTATAGTCCCTCTCCCATTTATTTTTCTGTCTATTATGATTTTTTTCATACAACAAATTTTCATTTCTTTAGCTGAAAGGATAAGATATTTATCATGCAGCTGCTCTTGTTACTTCAAATCTTCCATCTTTCATTCACATAAGATGCTATTTTTGTAGTGTAAACCCTATTCTCTGACCGATGTGCTTCTGGCCGAGAACAAAGTATCCTCCTCTGCTCTGCAGCTGCAGTCACATGACTGTTTCGTCTTCAAACCCTCCCACAGATTCCCCTCACATGCAGAGACACAGAGGCTTTAAGACAAAAACACGCTTCGCCATCTGACTCGGCATAAACCCCCCCCCTGCCACCCATTCTCCCAGACACTGATCACAGATTCGGACGTCCCTCAGACCACGTAGCTCACCAAGAACAGGAACATTGCTGTACTTGTTGAAATTGAACGTCATTCAGAAGAACACTCTTTTAAAACAAAATTAGAAAATCAAGCAGGCTGATGTTACATAAACGTGGCTTCTCAAAGGAAAACATGTTTTGAGTGCTGTCGGTCAATCAATATCATTTCCAATCCTTTTACAAAACTGCTTTTAAGCTTGAGGTTTTCCCAGTAAACAGATTATCAGCTGCGTATGGTTTGGTGCATTTGAATGTGTAGTATGTTTCCTAGTAGTTGAGATGAAGAAGCACAGAGCGGTCAAGGACATTTCCAGAGAAGTCGGGGCAATCTTCTCTCAAAAACATCTTGGCCCTGCTGCAAAACAAAGAGCTTCTTACTAAACCCTGTGGGCTTTCAAGTTTCAGAGAAGGACATCTTATGCTGTCTTTCTGGGCGTTTCAGTGATCTCTTGTCTACACTGCAAAAAATGGAAATCTAAATGAGTCATTTTTGATTAAATTAAGTGCATTTTTTCTTGAATTGAGGAGGTAATTGAGATACTTTGCCAACGGAACAAGACAATTTACATTTAAAATAAGAAAAAAAAATAGCTTTGCCTTATTTCAAGTGCATATTATCTAATTATCTTGTTTTAGGAGTAAAAATACGAATTCCATTGGCAAATTATCTTATTTATCTACCGGTACTTAAATTAAGGGCAAGTACACTCAATTTCCTTTTTTTTTACTTAATTCTAGATGGTTTTTGCAGTGTAAAAAACACATCACTTGTTTTAACATGGGAGTTGGGGGATAAACAGCTCTTATGTTGAAATTAGATTCTTGGAAATGTGAGTCCATTATTGGCCACAGTTTTTTATATCCTTACCTCATTGTTCTTTTCTGCTGTAATCATATTTTTGCTTCATGTGTCCAGTCTAAAGATTTCAGGAAGGAAGTTTTAATGCTGAATGAGCTAAAAAAAATTGCTTGTTGAAACAAAAGCTTTTCTTAATGCATTTTCATACACAAAAGTATGTGATACAATGTTGTATTGCATGAGAAATACAAGAAGTGACTAGTTGTAACTGTACCTTTATAAACAATTTCGAGTCGTTTCAAGGCCTAATTCGAAGCTACAAGTGAGTTCTTTCTTTAAAAGTAACGAAAGTCACTCAGGACATATTTTTTCACTTTTCACAGAGTACCTTAAAGCTGCTACATATTTCTAACATTTTCTTTCGATTTCTTTTTTGTTTGGTTTTCAGGTGCTTACAAAAGGATTTGGATTCCATCTCAGAGATCTTTGCAACACGACTCCTCTGGAGGAGTTTGTCCACATTGAAGACCCCAGTGTGTCCAATATGACTCAAGAAATCATCTGCAAATCATCTCATGACTGGCTGAACAAGGCGCAGAACCACTTCCTGTCCAATTTGGACTTTCTGAAACCGATTCGGGTTAGTATGATTAACTTTAGTTTATGGTTCCTATCAATCTGATTTTTAAAATTATAATAACACCTTTTTTTGTATTAACAACTAAAATGGTCCCATTAATAACTAACATTATTTCATGCTTAACCTATTTAAAAAGGAAAAAATAAACCTTTTTTATGTTTTTCATTGTGGCGAAATATTTGATCCTTATAAGAGATTAACTAAATATTAAGAGATTAAGACTCTTAAGACTAATATGATTTTTTTATTCTCTAAAACATTGTTTAGAGAGGCATTTCCTCCCTCTCCTTTCTTCCCACATAGTTTCCCCCTCCCCTTAAAGATTTGACCCGAATGTGAAACAGTGCCAGGAAGAACGGCATGAGGTGAACAAGACGTCCTGCTTTGCTTATCTTAAAAGCACCAAAGGAAACTCTACTCAAACATACCGATGTCTGATAAGCTTGGTCCTTATATTTGTAATTATTTTTTCAGTCCAGAGTATAAAAACTGCTGCCTTGTTGATCGATTTTACTCCCACCAGAATAGTTAATGGCTTGATTAAGAGATGATTCCCAGAAAACAGACTTTGTCCTCAAACTTGTCCAAACTTTGCGAAATCTTTATGCAATAGTGGAAATCCCAACTGTTAGGTTAAGAACTATTGCAAAACACAGTTTTCTCTCATCTTTGCCCTGATTGGGAACATGTGTAATAGCTGGGGGGCGATAAATCAACAAAAGTAAGGATGTTAGGGAGGAAAAGTAAACCGATCGTTGTTATTTCCTAGAAGGCTTTTTCTTTTCAGTGACACCACTGCTTTATCAAATGTGTGACAGTTCAGAGCCTCACAGCTTGGAGTGATAGATGATAACACTCAAACACACGCACAATCACCTGTGTGCCCAAACTGCAGCATGACACAGAAAAGAATGAGCTCAGATCTTATTAAACTTTTTTTTCTTAGCTTTCCTTTCATCAATCAATTTTCACTATCATGTCTATCTTGTCACCTCTCTTAGTTTATCTTACAGTCATTACAGTTTTTATCTCATGTAAGCAAACAAACAAGGTAAACATTTTCAACCAACAAAATCTATCCTCTTTAACAGAAGGACGTGAGGTCAGACCCTAAAGTCGTCCAAGAAGTTTCAGCTGCAACCGACAATCTTCTGGAGAGCCTTGGAGCGCTGGGCGTCGAGGTAAATAAACCAGATGCTGCTTAAGAACCACCCACACATTAACACATAAAACAGGACATCTGAATTATTTGTATCCAAAGTTCAGCCATCATGTTTGTGAATGAAATCAATCCCTACCCACACTGATCATCAGTTTTAATTCAAACGAAGGTAATGGTGTAACAATTCCGAAACACTTAATTTTTGATAGATTTTATAAAAACTTCCAGGTTTATCAGCTTATAGGTTTCCTTTTAGCATGTTTAATTTCATTACATTTTCTTTTGGTAGGCTAAAGACATTGTGGCAACAGAAGGACAAAAAACATCTTTAAGTCCTTATCTTTTTGACAATTTGTCTTTGTTTCCTAGAAATTATATTACTGTTAAAAGAGGCTTAAAAGATGTAACTGTCTGTGCAAAGTCATCCAGTTCATTATGACCACAAAACAGGCTTAGATCCAAGGAAACCTGAGAAAGGTCCTCTTGCCTCTTATTTAAGGAAAGTGAAATAATTTTAATATATTAAATATTTCTCTCTTTTTAAAGAGAGTAATTAGCATGTTTCTGCAGACGTTCCAAATGTTTTTTAAACTGAACTGTTTATTGTTAATCTAATCCAGCTAAAATATACCAACATTACTGCCTCCTCTCTGTGAGAGGAATAAGAAAAGCAGAGTTGAACTAAAGCAAGATTTTTTTAGTTAAATTCAACCACACTGTTTGGTTGGGATTTTTTTTTATTAAGTTTTAAAAAATAATGAAATTTTAGCCTTATAGTAAATAACTTCTGTTTCACAATCTAGTGCTTCAGCAGGGGTGGGGTGGTCAGGGGGAGCTGCAGCAACATTCATGAAAAGCTGGAGGTTTTTTTCCACCTGGTCAGTGGATCCAGTGAGGTTTTTGTTTCTCCTTAAAAAATGCAGCAAAATACATAGCAAGCAAGCTAAAAGATGCCAATTCAAAAAGAAAATACATATTATAATTTTTTATAGTGCAGTAAAAGTGCTTATATTTAAATCATGGTTCCAGTTTTGTCCGTCACGGTCTCTCCAAACCAAGCTTCCTGTGCTTCTCTATTAAAATTTTCTGTGAAAAAGGAACAAGTGGTGTTTAAACTCTATCAGTATCAAAGAATTTAGGCACTTTTATCAATCCACCACCTGTTACACTCCGTGCTGCGGTTTCACTTTGTTATCTTTTATTTAGAGCTAACTTCCCTTTCAGAAAACCTTGCTGTTAACAGATAACAGTTGGCCCCCCAAAAATAAAGCAATATGTTTCTTAATCTTAAATAAAAGTAAGCAGTCAGCGAAAGGGACCTGACTCAGTGAAATAGCCCGTGTGCCATCCTTAATATTACACTCTCACAGGAACAGAAAATGACATGCACGCACACATTCCTGACCTAAGCTAATGTAACTGAGTCTGTGCTGTTGGAGTGCACTGAGGAAACAGGAGACACAGCAATTGGTTGTGCATGCTAACCAAACGCAAAGCAACCCCCTTTTCTCCCAGGCTCAACCTCTGCTGATTTGGCAAAACTTAAAGGCCCAGCTGTCTGTGTGACTGTGTGTGTTGGGGTTTTCTGTCTAAGCAGCAGAAAAGTCCTCAAAGAGCTGCTCCTTTCTTCTCTTTTCAATGAAAATGTTGAAACAATAAGCCATCGTTTCCTTTTCACCCTTTGCACAATATTAATTTCCTCTTTTTGCGTAGAACTGTGTGAAAGGGCAACTCCCGAAAAAACAGTTGGAATAATCAGAAAAGTAAAATCTACTATCCGTGGAGTATCTCATATGCTAAAATTGTGTCATTTTAGTAAAAATGAGCATCCATAAGCAGCTGGAATGCTATGAAACATAATCTTAACAAAACGCAGCAGACAAAAATGGCTGAATGGACCCCTGTGACCTTTGTTGTGTATTTCAGTCCAAGGTTTTTAATCTCTAGAAGCCAAATGAACTTCAACCTAATATAGCAGTAAAGCTTTTTAAGGATTTAGACATTTTAGATGCTTGGACTTTAGGAAAAAAAAGAGGTATTCTCTAACAGCTTAAAGGCCCATTTTGTGTGAAACTTCCCAATAAACCATAATGACAAAAAGTGGAAGCAGTTACAGGAACAGTATGTCTGTACAAAGAATCTCAAAGGAGTCATGGAACATATTTAGTTCCTTATGTGCCTTTTGACAATTACCAACCCTTTCCCTAACCAGTGAAGCTGATTAAATGTTGTTTAACAGATAATTAGGAGCATTATATGATAATAGGACCTATTGAAAATCTACAAAACAGTTATTTGTTGTTTCTTTTTTAAGACTCTTGGTTTCTGGGCTGGAAAGGAGACAAAAAGAGGAGGAAATTCTTTTAAAAAAAAATGTCTTACCTGCAAGTTGTAAAATATTAGAAAAATACTTTTCAAGACCCTTTTTAAGATAGTTATTGAATTGTTTAGAATTATCAAAACAAAAAACATTCAGATGAATCAAAATGAATAGTCATATCATATCAGGTTGGTGTTTGTGGCTCCATTTGTTTGCAGTGTTTTCGCATCCTGATTATTGAACCTGAAAACTTTCTCACATTTTATATTAATGCTACATAATGGTTACTAAATAATGTATTTTTTTTAATCCCTTGTTTTAGGCAAAACCTTGCTAAACATAGTGTCCAAACATCTAAAACTGCATTTTGTAAAATGTAACAGATGGTAAACTAGCAAGAGAAAAAACTAATTGTTAAAGTAAAATTAGGTTTAATTTTAAGCCAAGAAATTAAACTTTAAATCCTTTAACCAGCTGTTTAACATACTTTTTTGGTTAAGACCACATTTATTGACCAAAATGTTTTGTTTTTTTTTCTTTTTCTTTGGTCTGTATTTATTGATATATTAATTTCAGTTTTAAATGTTGTATTTTCTTAGGAGAAAGAAAAAAATCCTCACAAGTAAAAGAAAATGTATACAACTTAAAAAAGGTATTATGATTGTAATGAATCTTTATATCCTCAATTTTGTAAATATAGTTACTGAAATAAGGTAGCTTTTTAACAATATTCAGATTTACTTAATAAGGCTGTACTGGTGCAGTACTGTAATTGTGGACAAGTTAATTAGACATTTTAAACGCTAACATAATAAAAGGTTTTTAATAGCTAGCAGAAATCCAGCTGTAGAATACCTTTAACATAACAAAGAAAAATAAATCCCAGGGCCAAACTAGCTGGTATCTCATATCCAATTATTATGTCTTTTGGAAGGGCCCTGTGTGAGAACTGCCCTTGAGACATGTGGTGAACATTTTCCACCCAACCCCCCCTAATATAGTTCAACTCCTATCAAAAAGGGAATTTGCTGAGAGAGAACCAGTGCTTTGTTTTTTCTGCTGACTATTATTTTGCTTTCCTCTCTGCACGTTTTTATCAAAATAAAAACTGGCCTCAGATAGCCTTATCTGTCATTCTGACTGCAAAAAACAGGAATTTCCTCCACAGCCCAGCCTCAAGCCCTGTTTAAATTTTATGCATAAACAATAAAGAAGAATCTAACCAGATGTATATTCTCCATAGAATTTCTAAAAAGTTATCCAGATATACAAGGATTTTTTTTTATGTGTTCAAAATGTTTTCCTTATCAGCCTAAGTGCTGCAGTGGTTTAAAAAGCTGTGTGCTTGAGAGGAAACTTGAACTCTAATAACCCTACAGAGGCTCCGCTGTGAGTTTACTCCAGGACAAGCCTGTTCTTCTCCCTGCCCGCCTTCTTCTCTGTATCCCTGTTTTATTTAATATGCGTGCTACTCCGTACATCTAAATGCTGGGATTTAGTTGGTTTTATTTCCCTGCCACCTTGTCAGTTTATGGTGGGCGAGAGCATTTGGGGCAATGACACATTTTTTGTCACATGAAAACACTCATTCACAGCGTGAATCTACCAATATGGTTTTGGTTTCAAAGTCAGCTGCATGAACATAGTGTTGTAAAGCAACATCATTTAGGTTGCTCTTTGGTTGTGTGGGAAATATTTTAACAAACAGGATGTTGGTAATCTTAAGTAAAAAAAAAAAAAAGGAAACAAATGTAAACATCTACACTTGATAAGACCTTTTGGATGCACCGCCAACCACTACAGAAAACCATTTCTACAGAAAACCTCAGCTGCAACAAATATAACAGGCTGTGTTTAAACACACATGTAAACACTCCCACAAGCCCAAAAGCCTCTTGCAGCATATCATTCACATCTATGCAGATGAAAAAGCAGGAAGCCATGTTCAGCTGATGCAGCTGCAGACTCAGTTGCACGTTAACCATGTTTAAAAAGTTAATTAGCAAAGAAAAGTCTCACTTCTCTTTGTTTTATAGTTATTGACAAAAATAGATTAATGAATTATGTTACCTATTGAAAAAACTGGATGATTGCGTTTGCCTGACTAAATGTCATTGTGTTAGAGTGTGGAAGGGCTCATAACTTTTAAGAAAAACACTGTTCTCCTTCTGGAGCCTGCCGGGAAATGACCGATAGTAACCTCTCTTTGTTCTCACACCTTCCTGTGTTTTAACCACTCGCTTCAGTTTCTTTCTTTCTTTCTTTCTTTCTTTCTTTCTTTCTTTCTTTCTTTCTTTCTTTCTTNCTGCCCTCGTCGATGCCTGTATTGCCTCCCTCTGCCCCCCCAACAGGAGACCTTTACAACAATTAATGTAAATATATCGATGGATTAAATTTACTTTAATATAGAAAATAGTTTATTACAATACCTATTTAAAATAATAAAACCATGTTATGGTTAAATTTTCTTTCTTTCTTTCTTTCTTTCTTTCTTTCTTTCTTTCTTTCTTTCTTTCTTTCTTTCTTTCTTTCTTTCTTTCTTTCTTTCTTTCTTTGTCTTGTTATCAGTTCTGGCTCTTCATCCTTCATCCCCCATGCCATACTTACTGTAAACCCAAGCACCCTCCTCCTCCTCTTCACTAAGGAAACAAAAGCTTAACTTCCATTTCATCCTTTGTTTGTTTTCCCTCAGTAAAAATCATAAACCTCCTCCTTTCATTCCTTGTCACGGGTTGTTGCCCTAATTGCTCACCTAGTTTAACAGTTTGGAAACCTTGTTAAACCTGTGCAGACTTGTGATTTGACCTATAATAACCTTACCGTGCATTGAACCCTATGATGTCAGGCTGCATATGACTGCTGACAGTATAAAAAAGAACACTTCTCCTTTCTCAAATTCAAGAACTCCAGTGTAACAAAAACTCCGATTGTTTATGATTAGAAAGAAACACAGCTAGAGGGTTCAGCCAGTTTAAGACAAAGACTGCAATTCAAGCAGATGTTCTGGTCGAGTGTTAATAAAATATTCCTGAACAAAGAGGCGGGTTGTATGGGTTTTGTTTTTGTTCTGAACATCAAAATTCTGTCCTGTTTTGATCATGCATATTTGTCACATTGTGTCGGCCTACGTTTACTGACAGATGTTGATTTGCTCCAGAGCAACAATATTCCGTCTGCAGGGTAAACATTCATAACGATGTCTGTTTTTGATGAAGGACACTGTGTTGTCTCATTGCGTGTTATCTAACCCCCCCTCCTAAAAGCATCACAGACCCTCTCACACACGCACATGCTGAGGACTGGGAACAGCAGTTAAATTTATCTCAGTCGGGCAGACGGTCAAGTGTTAAGTGTCTCCACCTCTCAGAGCACCACTTCTCTGCACATGTACCGAATGCCACTCACTATGCACACTGTTTTTGGTCGACTTGGGAAAAAATAGAAAGATGTTCTATTTTTATGCTCAAGGGAAATAGATTATATATTTTTTTATTTTATTATAATTTCTGACTCGGATAGATTATCTGTTGTCATCTATAAAGAAGTGAAACTTAAACAAAACAAGATGGTAGCCATGCATCAAAAGAACATTTACTATGTTTTTGGTGAAAAATAGATATCATGATTTGGTGGTAGATTTTTAAACCCTTAGTTTTTGGAAAGTTTAAATTGTTTAGACTAATTCTAACGTATCAGATTTTCCTTTAATAACTTAAGTTTTAAAACCTTTTTGGATTTCCTGTTGTGGGTGATCAGTAAAAAGGGCAGCTTCCAAAACTATGGCTATTTATTTTCTTATCATTTAAACTGAAACATAATATTGCATCATTGACCTTTAAGATTAACTTCTTAGCAGAAGTAAAATGGCGGTCTCTGGTTCAATTCCCCACAGAACATAGATCCTTGCTTTAACACAGGTCTCTAAAAGCCATCGCTCTCCTCTGAATTACAGACATGTATCACTGCTTAAATATAAAGCTATATTTAGTTACATATTTAAAGACCTCTCTGATTCTGAAAACAGCTACCTTTGAGTCTTTTATCATTTTAACAGTTTTCACACATATTGGTGGTGATATCAGTGTGACTGTTTAGGGCTTATGTAAACTGATCAGGATAAAAAAATCTTATTTTTTTTTTTATTTTCCCTCAAGGTCGGTCACCAATTAGTACAAAAAAAAAATGCTGCACATGAGGTACTTACGGTCACCAGCTGATTTTTGGTACATTTCCAGTGAAAAACTACGACTCAACTATAATATTTGAAGTGAATCCGTCAGGTGTAAATTTTGGACTTGTGTTCGACCTCTTCTGATCAAGCTGTTAATGTTCACATCTCTTTCTCAACAGCTTGCCAGTATGAAGAGCTGGAAGGATATGAGAAAGGAGATCCTGTATCTGACCGCTAACTCCACAGGATCTCCGAAGCAGGTGTACCAGGCTGTTTCACGGATTGTTTGCGGACATCCAGAGGGAGGCGGACTAAAAATCAAGTCCCTCAACTGGTATGAAGACAACAACTACAAGGCTCTGTTTGGACACCATGGCAACGACAGCGACAGTGAGCCCGTCTCCACTTATGACAACACTTCCAGTAAGCATCCAAAGCCTTAAACACAAATTTTTCCATGCAGAACAAGTCATTTGTTCCCATTTTCTCTCTGTTCAATACTCTAAATGGCTTTACCTTTACTCTTAGCTCCCTATTGTAACAACCTAATGAAGAACCTCGAGTCCAGCCCCATTTCCAGGATGATCTGGAGAGCCTTAAAACCTCTTCTCATGGGGAAGATCCTCTACACCCCAGATACTCCAGCAACACAAAGGATCATCCATGAAGTATGACTGACCCCTTAAAGATACATTTCATCTGAATTATTTGCACAAGTGCTCAAGTTAACCTACATCCCTGAATGTTGCAGGTTAATAAGACCTTCCAGGAGCTGGGCGTGCTCAGAGACCTGGGTGGCATGTGGGAGGAAATGAAGCCTAAATTTTGGAACTTCTTGGAAAACAGCGAGGAGATGGACTTAGTCAGGGTGAGCATGTTTGCTGACATCATTTCAATCGAAATGTTTATCTTGAAATTCAAGCAACACGGGAGAGTCTGTGTAATTATCCTATGTAAGCATGACAGGGTTACATCCTCTTTTAGGTTCATTTCACGCAACCAAAAGTTTTAAAGCTAAGAAGAAAGAGTGTTTGCACCTTTCAGATAAATGTGATAATAATAATGATAAATAAAACCAATCATAAAGTCATGTTACCAATACAAATAATGACCAAAACCATGCATCAAAACAAAACCCTGTATTCTGTGACCATGTTAGAACATAGCAGAGTAGATCATGCAAAGTGTCTCTCTCCAGATGAGCAGTTTTTCCAGGGAATAGGGTTCATTTCATGGTTGTTTATTGATGGGAACTTTTACCCAGTTTTCAACATTTCCTCTTTCTGTAGTAAAGCACCAACTCCACCTAGTGGTAAATGGGGGAAATTATCTACACCAAGATAAGCTTCTTGTATCTTAGCTTGTCATTTTCTTCTAGATTTTATATATAACTTGACAACAAACAGTAATATTTATCAGGAAAACTTAAAATAAAATTAGTCTCCACAGAAAATTAAAAACTAAGAATAATAGATGTTGCAACTAATATCAAAAATGTTTGTTTTTAGACTGTTTTGCATAAATAATTTGTTTTTTCTTCAGTCCCTGCTCCAAAGCAACACCAGCGCAGCGTTCCTGGACGCTCAGCTCAGTGAGACTGAGTGGAGTGTGTCTGATGTGGCGGCGTTCCTCACAAAAGCCTCAGAGGACCAGAGACCTGCTGGGTCTGCGTACACATGGAGAGAAGCCTTCAACGAAACCGACCAGGCCATAAAGACCATTTCACAGTTTATGGAGGTTAGTATATCACCGTCTTTTTTCCAGCCAACAACACACACAAATCTAGAGCATGTAATTTTTTTTTTTCTGATAGGAAGATACGGTATGTGAAATTGTAATAATGTTAGGATCTGTCCAGTAAACCGCTGCATGGCGGTTCATAAGTTGTCTTTAAAAATGTTTTGTCTGTAGATAAAACAGGAAAAACAGCTACTGATAACCTTTATAGGTAATTTCCCCATAAAATTTTAATGCATTTTCCAGGGATTTGACCTCAGATCGTTGGACGCTATTATTACAAACCTTGAAATTCAATGTTCTTTTGCTTCTCAGGCCTCATAAACTGAATAAAAACCATGAGATGCGTATAAATTGATATTTTCAATGTTAATTTGATTAAAATAGAACAAGGTCAGCCATAAATCCCTCCCACAATTAGTTAATGTTGTTTCTTTGTACTTATGTTTGTCTGGAGGGAAAATTCTTTATGAATCACGTTCCAACTTTTATTATATATACCTTTATAGGGCAATAGGTGAAATACTTTGAAAATCATATTATAACATAACATATATATATAACATGTCAAAATTATAAGCTAAGAGTTTTATTGGAGGACAGGACATATAGTTTAATGGCACAAATGTAGGTCAATTTAATAACAAGAAACAATTATTTGCTCTAGTATGTAAAAAAAAAATAATAAAGGTGCTTTGATAAGAAATTAATGAAAAACACACAGAGTGAAAGAATCACTTTTTATTTTCTAGAACATAACCTTAGATCATTAATTCTGATGCAGGCACTTACATTTTTTACATTTATCTTAGCTTATTGATTAAAATTTGTAACTTTTCAAATAGGTTTTAATTTTTTCACATAGCTTTTGAACCAAACTTGTTAATTTACAGTAGTTAACATATCATGCAAGGGCTCATCTAATTGCTCAATGCCAAAATTACATGTACAGCCACGTAGCAGTATCTTTGCTGAATGGCTGGATATTGATCTTGTACTTCTAGACCTCACTGATAGATGGGGGGGACTCCGTTTGTCATCAAAAAGGGTAACTTTCACTATAAACGGATATTATATAATATTATATAATTGATAATCTACGTCCCATTCAATCATTTGTACTCAATACACATTCTAGATTTAAATAAAGGAATATTAGCTATGTATATATTTAAAAAAAATATTTTAAGATGTTTACAAAGTCCTCCATAAAACATCCAGATAATATTTCACTCCAGACAGCCCAGTGACCCACTGATCATATAAGCTGTTACACAGTTGTTTGTTTCTCCCATTAAAGTCAGTACTACAGCTTTAAATAACCATCAAAGAGTGTACTGTCTGCTACATTATTCTGCTTTATTTGATTAGACTTTGCTCTTTTGAATCATTGATATTTATCAAAATAATGTTGAAGGAATGAGGTAAAAAATCAGCTTATGTAAGATAAACATGTGAAAGGTTTATCTGTGGGAGGCTCAACAGATCAGATAAACAACCTCAGCGGTTACTCTGTATTACTAAGCAGCATGAACCTTGTAAACGGGTAAAAGTTCATAAACTGTTTTTCCCCTTTTTCGTTTAGATAGGTGGACTCAAAACAATCTTCCTTAGTTTCCCACCAATTATTACAACCCATTCTAGTTTTATTGGTACATCAATAATGACCTAAAATTCTGAAACCACGCATTAAGGTTTTACTTCTTCCTTCTCTTCATCCAACCTCCTGTCCTTTAGTGCGTGAACTTAGACAAACTGGAGCCGGTTGCTAATGAGGAACGCTTGGTCAACAAGTCCATGGGTCTTCTGGATAACCAAAAGTTCTGGGCAGGAATCGTTTTTCCTGACATCGCTTACAACAACAGCACAGATCTGCCGCCTAACGTCAACTACAAAATCCGCATGGACATTGATAACGTGGAGAGGACTAACAAGATTAAAGACGGGTAAGTGGCTGCGGTAAAGACTCCTTTTTCAGCAGTAAATTTTTTGCAAGTTTAGAAGATTTTAAATGTATTTTATTTCTTACTTTACAGATACTGGGATCCTGGTCCCAGAGCAGACCCCTTTGAGGACCTTCGGTATATCTGGGGGGGATTTTCCTACCTGCAGGACATCATCGAACAGGGAATTGTCCGAGCCATCACTGGCACCAAGGAGAAAACGGGCATCTACATTCAGCAGATGCCTTACCCTTGCTATGTTGACGACATGTAAGTAAATACCTTATAAAACACAAAACAAAACAATAAAAACATGGCATCATGTAGCTTAAATATTTCCTTTTTTTTTTTTTTTTTAGATTCCTGCGAGTCATGAGCCGGTCGATGCCCCTTTTCATGACTCTGGCGTGGATGTACTCGGTGGCCATCATCATTAAAGGGGTGGTGTACGAGAAGGAGGCGCGGCTAAAGGAGACCATGAGGATCATGGGACTAAATAACGGCACCCTGTGGCTGAGCTGGTTCATCAGCAGTTTAATTCCTCTGCTGATCAGCGCAGGCTTGCTGGTGATGCTGCTGAAGGTGTGTGTGAACGAAGTTAAGCACCTGTATGGACTAACCATCTCCATACAGGGATGTCAGATAGGTTTAGAACAATGATTGCTGCTAATTACATCAGTTTTACAGGATATTAAACTCTAGGAAAAACATTAAATGATTCTGTTTTCTCCTCTTTTTTCAACTTTCCTCTCAGATGGGCAACCTGTTGCCATATAGCGACTCAGGCGTGGTGTTTATTTTCCTGGGGTCCTTCGGCGTCGTAACCATCATGCAGTGCTTTCTAATCAGCACTCTGTTTTCTCGTGCCAACCTGGCTGCTGCCTGCGGAGGAATAATATACTTTACACTCTACCTACCTTACGTTCTGTGTGTTGCCTGGCAGGACTATGTGGGATATGGAGCAAAGCTTTTAGTGGTGAGTGAGAGATCACAGATTAAACACATGCACAGTTATTGATAAGCCTGATCAAGATGTGTCAAAAGTCTTAAATTCATGCTTTCTCATTGGACTGAACATCCACACCTTAAACCAACAGGGATCCCAATTATTAGTAATATGTTAACAGTGGATATTGCGTTTCTCCTCCAGAGTCTTCTGTCTCCTGTGGCTTTTGGTTTTGGCTGTGAATACTTTGCCCTGTTTGAAGAACAAGGCGTTGGAATCCAGTGGTCAAACCTTCTTGCGAGCCCACTGGAGGAGGACAGCTACAACCTCACCACCTCTATATGCCTCATGCTGTTTGATGCCATGTTGTACGGAATAATGACCTGGTATATTGAAGCAGTTTTTCCTGGTAAGACACAAGAGAATCTCACAATTTATGAGTAGTAGATTTGCATTTCAAGTTTTTAAAAGAAATATTTCCACCACAGGTCAGTACGGTATCCCCAGGCCTTGGTATTTCCCTTTCACTAGGACATATTGGTGTGGAGAGAAGGAGAATAAAAACATAAACACCCCTCTGTCAAAGAAGAGCAACGCTGACGGTACAGTTCATAAAAATCATCAGTATGGTAAAAATGCAAGAGAAACTCATGCTGACTGATAACATGGTTTTGTTTTCCATTATAATTACAGCCGTATGCACCGAGGAGGACCCCAGCCACATTGAACCGGGCGTTTATATTGAAAATCTGGTGAAGATCTACAGCCATGGAAACAAACTGGCCGTGGATGGACTGACCCTTAAATTCTATGAAGGGCAGATCACCTCTTTCCTTGGTCACAATGGAGCTGGCAAGACTACAACTATGTAAGACAACATGTTGTTTACAATTGAGTCAGTCTACAGTATATAACCACAAGATAAAATGTATATTGGTTATTTAAAGTCTGAAAATAATGGCCATATTCTGTTGTGTCTGATAGGTCAATCCTGACCGGATTGTTCCCACCCACTTCTGGTACTGCCTACATCCTCGGCAAGGACATCCGCTCTGAGCTCAGCACCATCAGGCAGAACCTGGGGGTCTGCCCCCAGCACAATGTGCTTTTCAGCATGTATGTGTGCAATTTGATAAAGAGGATATTTGTCCAAACTTTCTCCCCTTTAGTATTTTAAGCATTTGTTGGTTTGCCTTGAATCAGGTTGACGGTCGAGGAGCACATCTGGTTCTATGCTCGCCTGAAGGGGCTTTCCGAAGACAAGGTCAAGACAGAAATGGAACAGATTGTAAACGATGTCGGACTGCCACACAAGCGGAAGTCTCGCACAAGCACCCTGTCAGGTCGGTTCCTCTAAAATGCTCATCTATTTTACACATATGCATTGAAATTTAGAGTGCCTGTTTCTGACTTAATCTTGTCTTTATTTGTGCAGGTGGGATGCAGAGGAAGTTGTCAGTCGCACTTGCATTTGTTGGAGGTTCTAAGGTTGTTATTCTGGACGAACCCACTGCTGGTGTTGATCCATATGCACGCAGGGGGATTTGGGATCTGCTCCTCAAATACAGACAGGGTAAATTTAACTATCACTAGCTGATAAGGCAGAGTTTATTTTTATCTCATATTTTTAAATTAGGCTTAAGTATCTAGTTACTGCATCAGAAATTGTATATTATGGTGCATGAAGTGAACTTTATGCTCTTTTTAGGCCGCACCATCATCCTCTCCACTCATCACATGGATGAAGCTGACATCCTGGGTGACCGTATTGCCATCATTTCCCACGGCAAGCTGTGCTGCGTCGGTTCGTCTCTCTTCCTGAAGACTCACCTTGGAACAGGCTACTACCTGACCCTGGTCAAGAGAGACTACGATCTTTCTCTACAGTCCTGTAGGAACTCTGCCAGCACAGTCTCCTACATGAAGAGGACAGAGAAGGTAAACATAACGTGAAAATATATTCATATGCTGGTGAAGATTCTCAGTCATCCAGGTCACAGTCATTCCAAAAAAGTAAAAAAAAACAAAAAACAATCCACTGGACTTTGTATCCAGGTTTGAAGCAAAACGTCTTCAAACTTGGAAACAAAGTCCAGTGGATTGTTGTTTAACTTTTTTGGAATATATTCATACGTTTCCCAACTTTAAGAAGTGTAAAGATGTATGTATTTTTTTTTCAGGAGGACAGTGTATCAGAGAGCAGTTCGGATGCTGGTCTGGGAAGCGAACCAGAAAGTGAGACCACCACTATTGGTATGAGCTGTGAGCTTATAGCTTTCTCTGTAAAGCTTCAGAAATGGCCTCCATGACGAATGATGTTCACTCGCCTTTCTCTTGTTCTGTTCGTGTGTTTTTCATTAGATGTCTCCCTCATCTCCAAAGTGATTTTCAAGCATGTCCCGGAGGCCCGTCTGGTGGAAGATCTCGGCCATGAGCTCACCTACGTCTTACCACACCAGTCAGCTAAAGATGGCGCCTTCGTTGAGCTCTTCCACGAGCTTGATGACCGACTTACTGACTTGGGGATTTCAAGTTATGGAATTTCTGACACCACCCTCGAAGAGGTAAAGGCTTCTTAAGTTAAACATGGTCTGACTCAGAATTAAATCTTTCCTTTAAAACAAATGTTTGTTAGATTGTGGGTAATATCAAGTGAATCTGAAGTGAACCTCCACCTTAATCTTCTTTCTTTTTACATGGCAGATTTTCCTAAAGGTGGCAGAAGATAGCGGAGTTGATGCTGTTGAGCTGTCAGGTAAGGTTTGTTTTGTCTTATATACAATAATTGCTCACTTATATTTCTTTGATAAAAGCAGACTGTAACTCTACAGAGCAAAAAGGAAAAACAAAAACAAACCTCGTATTGAAAGAGTAAAGAAGTTTTCTTTGCTGTGGTTGTAGATGGAGTTGTACCAACCAGGACCCGGCGGCGCCATGCTTTTGGAGACCACCAGAGCTGCCTGAAGCCCTTCACTGAGGACGACTTTGATTTCAACGACTCTGAAGGTGACCCAGGTAGAACTTTATCACCCAGCATGCAAAGCAATGTTAGAACTAAGGCTTGTTATCATACAGAAAATCCAACAACCTGAGGCTCATGTGACTGTTCCTGTTACAAAATGCAACAACTGCAGACTTCTAGTCATGACTAATCAGATAATATGCTTGTCGTTTTTTTTCACATTTGCTAACAATGTAATTTTTTTTATCTGGGCAGAATCTCGTGAGACCGACTGGCTCGGTGGGACAAATGGCAAAGGTTCCTATCAGGTCAAAGGGTGGAGTCTGAAGAGACAGCAGTTCGTTGCGCTACTCTGGAAACGATTCCTCTACGCTCGCCGCTCCAGGAAAGGCTTCTTTGCTCAGGTGTGTTATGGTTAAATGAATCTTTAAGGACTGAAAGTAAACTTGTGGCCAGTGCTTGGCCGTGCTTATCAATAAACTCAGACATTATCAACCTCACAATTTCTGACCTAGTGGTTGGTTACAAATATCCTTATATCTAAAACTCAGCCATGCTCTAAAGAATAATTATTTTAACAATTGGAAGTTTTCTCATTTTATTTAATGAAATTGCATTATTATGGTTTGTCTTTTTTCAGATTGTTCTGCCTGCTGTGTTTGTGTGCATCGCACTGGTGTTCAGCCTCATTGTTCCTCCATTTGGGAAGTACCCAAAACTGGCTCTGCATCCCGGCATGTATGGAGAACAGTTTACCTTCATCAGGTAGGGAATCATTCCCTTCTTATCGACTTCTGTCCTGATATCTGACCTTTCTACCCTCTTTTTGTAATTCTAGATATTATTTAGTCATTTCTTAAACTTTCTTAGAAAAAAAGAGAACAGAACGAATGAGTAAAATAGTGATTTCAGTTAGAGCAAGACTGTGACAACGATTCATCATTAAACAAGTGCTAATAAATGGTTTAGATGATGTAATTGTTGATGTACTTCAGTGTGTTATCTCTTGTGAGATATATGAAAGAAATACCATTACTTGAAGCAGTCTCTGTCTGGGTTTGCAGTAATGACATACCTGAAGACCCCCACAACAGCAAACTTTTGGGAGCTCTGATGGAAAAACCTGGATTCGGAACGCGCTGCATGGAAGGAGACCCCATACCGTAAGTGGGCAAATGTTTTTTGTGCAGATTATTTATCTGGGAAATATTAATGCCAAATTTTTGAGAAGTCAAACTTAAAGTAAAATGTTGATCCCTCTGTGCGCTCCAGGGAGTATCCCTGCACAGCGGTAGAGGGTGATTGGTCACTCCCTGAGGTCTCTCAAAGTGTAAGAGATATATTCGACAAAGGAAACTGGACCATGGAGAATCCATCTCCTCTGTGTGAGTGCAGCTGTGAGGGCCGTAAGAGGATGCTACCAGAGTGTCCTGCTGGAGCCGGGGGACTACCACCGCCACAGGTTAGTAGGAACAACAGAATCTAGACTTGAATTAATTTGTGGCATGAGATTTAGTTGCACACCACAAACAAACCAAATAAGCATTTCTTTTGGTTTCTGTATTCAGATGATGATCAGTGACAAAGACACCCTGCAGAATTTGACTGGTAGAAACCTGTCGGATTATCTGGTTAAAACCTACGCGCAAATCATTGGCAAGAGGTAAGACTCTGTCTTTTTCACCAGACAATTATAACTAACTTAGAAGTTCTATCATTTCATTATATTTATTCATCTTTTACAGCTTAAACAACAAGATCTGGGTCAACGAGTTCAGGTACATTATGGGACATTGTGTGTCTTTAAGTAAACCTAATATTGGTCTGAATGCATATCTAATGTGAGCAACACTGATGGAAAATGTCCGCTCTGCCCTTTAGATACGGGGGATTTTCTCTTGGCGCACGAAGTTCCCAGGTGTTGGCCCACACAGATGAAGTTGATTATGCCATTTTGCAACTGAGGAAACGCTTCGAACTGGAAAGGGTAAGAAGTGTAGACTTCTAATGCGTCAGTGTGAAGACTGTCTGTTTCCACACCAGCTAAAGAAGACTCTTCCTCTCCCACTCTTCCTCCCCATCCTTTAGGGAACGGCGGCCGATCGGTTCTTCGCCAGTCTCTCCGGTTTCATCCAAGGACTGGACTCCGAGAATAACGTCAAGGTAAGCATGAAAACACACATTCAGCAGCAGAGTGCTTTCAAACAACCTTTTTTTCCTTTTAAACTCTTCATACAGATTATTTTCAGTTTCTGTTTTTTATTTTCAAACTTCAAAACTGAGTTTAGAAAAACTACAGAGGCACTCTACTTTTCTTCCTCTCATATTTATAGCAGAGCTGATGATTATTTGCACAAGAAATGGGGGTTAGAAGTGGTGCGCCAGCAAATATCTTCCTGTGTGAAACAATGACTCACAACAAATTGTGTAAATCATTTAAGATTGTATAGATCAGAAATACTTAATTCAAGTTTAAATAAATACATTTGTTGATTTCTTTCATTGTCTTACTTTTTTATTGTGTAGTTATTCTAAATGGAACATGTTCTGTTTTAAATAAGATCAGTGATGGTGCCTCCTGTCTCCTCTTTCTGACTTTTCTGTAACAAAAGCCTTCCAGTTTAAAGTTCAGAAAATAGCCTATTCAATAAGTACCTTGAGGTTTTTGAGGGTAGTAATATGTTAACTCCACACAAACAACTAAAAATGTAAAGAATAAAGTCTTGTTAACTGAAATGGTGTCCAATTAGAGGACATGCAGTAGATCTCTGACCCGCTAGTTGAAACCATAGAGGCTTTGCGGTGTTATATTACACATTATCCTTACTTCCATCTAGATTTGGTTTAACAACAAAGGCTGGCACAGCATTAGCTCCTTCCTCAACGTGATGAACAACGCCATTCTGCGATCAAGTCTGCCTCCTGGTAAAGACCCTGCCAAGTTTGGCATCACCGCTTACAACCATCCCCTGAATCTCACCAAGGAGCAACTTTCACAAGTTGCACTGTAAGTGTCGTAGTCTGTCTGACATATATGAGCACATCTTCCCAAAATATCCTTGCATATGTTATATACAATTCTCATTTTTACTTTTTAGGATGACAACATCGGTGGATGTTCTGGTGTCCATTTGTGTTATCTTCGCCATGTCCTTCGTCCCTGCCAGTTTCGTGGTGTTCCTTATCCAGGAGAGGGTGACCAAAGCCAAACATATGCAGTTCATCAGTGGAGTGCAACCTCTCCTCTACTGGCTGGCCAACTTTGTATGGGATATGGTGAGTCATTACAGAATCAGAATGCTGGAAAAGCATACAAACATGTAAAAATCCCTTCAAATAAGTCTAATTTCTCTTAATTTAAGCAGATGAATACGATGATATGCCAATGGAAGGAGTATTTTTGGCCTTAGAATATACTAATATAGACTAGTAGATATTACAAGCGTGTCAGATGGATGGATGGATGGATGGATGGATGGATGGATGGATGGATGGATGGATGGATGGATGGATGGATGGATATTATTCAGTTGAATTGAGATTTTAACAGTTGTTTTTTCTTATGTTATTTTTACTTATTTGCTCAAATCAAAGGAAAATAAATTTATTTCAAGGAAAATTAACTAATTGGCTTTCAGGCTTTGCAGTGCATCACTCAAGTGGTGAAGAAATCAAACTGTCCTCATAGAAACATGACAGGATTCTCTCCTTTCTTCCATCTCTTGCAGTGTAACTACATCGTTCCAGCCACGCTAGTGATCATCATATTTGTATGTTTCCAACAAGACGCCTATGTTTCTTCCACCAATCTGCCAGTGCTAGCCCTGCTGCTTCTACTCTATGGGTAAATGGAATCAAAATGCAGGACTGACTCCTCATTTTAACCGTATTCAACAATATCATGTAAATTTATATTTCGCTTTTTGCTTCTTTTTTTTCAGGTGGTCAATCACCCCACTGATGTACCCAGCCTCCTTCTTTTTTAAGATCCCCAGCACTGCCTATGTGGTTCTAACCAGTGTCAACATACTGATTGGAATCAATGGCAGTGTCTCAACGTTTGTCTTGGAGTTGTTTGGAAGTAATGTAAGTAAATGTTAAAAGTGTTAGATTATATTTTTAGAGCTTTCCCCCCAAAAAACATAAGAACGGTAATTCTGAATTTATTATACTCCTCTTTCAGGATATCGGCGGTGTTAATGACATCTTAAAGAACGTCTTCCTCATCTTCCCACACTTCTGCCTGGGTAGGGGACTGATTGATATGGTGAAGAATCAAGCCATGGCTGATGCTTTGGAGAGATTTGGTAAGTACGCCAAGACTACATTTAACAATTTTTTATATTAATGTTCGGCTAAAACTAGAAAAGTCTGATAAGGCTCGATATTAAATACGTAAAATGTCTGCTGCAGGTGAAAATCGGTTTCGCTCTCCTTTGGCATGGGACATGGTGGGAAAGAACCTGTTTGCCATGGCCATAGAGGGCGTTATATTCTTCTGCATCACCGTCCTCATTCAGTATCGCTTCTGCTTCAAAGCTAGGTTAGTGAAAACAAAAACCACACACCCAAAACTAATTACTTAAAACATAGGTTTGACATTTATATTTAAGACCATTAAGGTCAAGTATGTCTGTAATTTAAATTCTCCTCTTTTAAAACTCCTCAGGTCCTCCACCAGTCATCTGAAACCTATTGGAGAAGAAGATGAAGATGTTGCCAGAGAGCGGCAGAGGATCCTGAGCGGTGGTGGACATTTGGACATTCTGGAGCTGAGGGAACTCACCAAGATTTACAAGCGGAAACAGAAGCCGGCCGTGGACCGGCTGTGTGTTGGCATTCCTCCAGGAGAGGTATGTCACAGCTTACAGAAAACATAAAAAAAATATACAAGATGCTTCCTATTTTTTTATACTGATAGTTGACATATTTTTTTTTTCTTGTAGTGTTTTGGTTTGCTTGGGGTAAATGGGGCAGGGAAGACCAGCACCTTCAAAATGTTGACAGGAGACTCGGATGTCACTAGCGGTGAAGCCTACTTAGCTGGCAAGAGGTATAACACTAGACAAGCTAAATAATTCATTTTGAAGTGAAAATAATATGTGAAAATACTTAAGGGTAATGTTCTTTGATGTTTTTTCTCCTTCCAGTGTGACCACAGAGATCAATGAGGTGCACCAGAACATGGGCTACTGTCCTCAGTTTGATGCTATCAATGATCTTTTGACTGGGAGAGAGCACCTGGAGTTCTACGCTATCCTGAGAGGAGTACCTGAGAAGGAAGTCTGTGAGGTCAGCAATAAAAAACATTTGTCTTTCATATCTGATTATAGTCATTACATCTTTGTCAAACAAAGAACAAATTAAACTGGCTGCAAAGTTGGTCTATAAAGATGGCAATACTCTATATTTCCACTAGGTGGCAGAATGGGGTATCCGAAAACTGGGTTTGGTGAAATATGTGGACAAATCAGCTGGAAGCTACAGTGGAGGAAACATGAGGAAACTCTCCACTGCCATTGCACTAATAGGAGGACCGCCTGTTGTGTTTCTGGTCAGTGAGCTTACAGATAAATTCATATAAAGATAACTGGTATCACTAGAGCCCCGGCGGATGTGTTACTGTGTATATTTTAGCTAATTGTATTTTTATCACTTTTTTAACAGGATGAACCAACAACAGGAATGGACCCCAAGGCCCGAAGAGCCCTCTGGAACGCCATCCTGAGTATAATAAAGGAGGGGCGATCCGTGGTCCTCACCTCTCACAGGTTAGCCAGAGCATCTCTTTGAACCACTGCTAACGTTTAATGGTTTCAATTGATAATTGGAACCATTTATTTATGTTCCTGTATTTAATATCTTTTTTCTTTCATGGGATACTGCAGTATGGAGGAGTGTGAGGCACTCTGCACCAGAATGGCCATCATGGTGAACGGCAGGTTCCGCTGTCTGGGCAGTGTGCAGCACCTTAAAAACAGGTAGGGAGGCGCACAGAAAACCTTTCATTACATTCTAGCAGAATAGAAGCTAAACTGGGAAGATTTAGTAAAATTTGCCTACTATTTAACTGAAAACTGTTTTGAGGTGCTTAGATCAATCTTGCAACTATTTAGTTTTAAAATATATCGTTTAGAGTCTTATGTGTGTCTGTTGTGTTTTTTTTATAATCTTTAATTTTGCTTATCAAATAAGAAATATAGTCTTGAAACTCCTAAAATGGTTAAATACCAGGTTCTGAAAATGATCCACCACTAACAGATCTATCAAAATGTCTGTGTGTTCCATCAGGTTCGGAGATGGCTACACCATCATCTTGCGAGTGGCGGGGCTGGATCCAGAGCTGCGGCCCGTTATGGAGTTCATAGAGCGGGAGCTTCCGGGGAGCACGTTAAAAGAAAAACACCGCAACATGCTGCAGTACCAGCTCCCATCTTCCCTCACCTCCCTCGCACGAATCTTCTCCCTCCTCACAAAGAACAAGGAGGAACTCAGCATAGAAGACTACTCTGTCTCTCAGACTACTTTAGACCAAGTAAGCAAGAATTCGACAAATAAATCCAATCAAATTGGAAAACATAATCAAAATTTCTGATATTAGATCAATATGTTCCAAAGGAATAAGCGTAAAAGCAATAGAAAACTTGGTTATAATCACCCTATCTAAGATGTAAAACTGATCCTGAGTAATATTTATTTGTTTTCTTTGTTTTCTCCTCTCACTCAGGTGTTTGTTAACTTCGCCAAGGACCAAAGTGACGAGGACCACTTAAAAGATGTCCACCTGAGCAAGCGGGATGCGGTTGTGGTAGACCTTTCCCAATTAAACTCTTTCCTCATGGACAGCAAGACAAAAGAGAGCTGCGTCTAAGCTGTGCTTCACCCGGCCTCCCAACAAAACGTGGACCACAAACTTCAGTGGGAGAGGAACTATGGTCATTTTTTTTATTTCTATTTTTTAGTCTGTTTTTAATTGTCATCATTCTCAGTGGACCTGCAGCTCATCGCACAGCCTCTGATGGAGGCAATGACAGCAGGTTTCATGACAGACGCTGAAACGATGAAAACTCAATGCAAATCAATGCAAGTAATACGAATATATTTAAGATTAGAAGATAGCTGTGTAGAGGTTGGAGACTGGAGCTTCTCCTCTTCATGACTTGGACTGGAAGAAAAGACACTTGAAACGTCGGGATCTTGATTCTCCTCTCGACTGGAAAGTCTGGGTAACTGACTTGATGGACAAAACACTTCAGGGGATTAAACAAGGCGAAACCCGTAGGTTTTTAACCCCGCCCCTTGGAGCAGAGAGCAGCAGTCTGCTGGACTGCCTGTAAGTGACTGCAGAGTTTATGACGTTGTAAAACAAAGTCATTCAAATCATTCACTGCCAGCTGTTGAAAGATGGACTGACTTATTTTTATTCAGGGTCAAACCTTTCTCAATTTCTATTCGTTACCAAGCGCAGTTTTTTTTCTATATATATAATGCAAGAAATGGATAAAAAAAAACGAAAATCCCATTTCAGTCTCAAATGTGCAATCGTCTGTTCATTTTTGATAATCTGAAAAACAATTCCTTTCAATTAAGCATGTTGAAGTTGTTTCTCACGGTTGTATAATACGGCGAAACAATCTGATTTTTCTTTCTTTTTTTATGTATTTGGTGTTCTTGATGTCCTTAACATTGTCCAGCACAGTGCCTATTCTGGAGGAGCGTTAAAGTCGAGCACTCCATTAAAAACAACAATGTATGTAGGCTGCCAAGGATTGTATGAGGCAAGAACCAACATGCAGCAAAGCACATGGAAAATAGTTTTATTTTACAATATTGTTGAATAACATCATGTTTTTTTGTTTGTTTTTTTACTGTCCTTCATTGTTAGAATCAAAAAACAAAAAAAATAGTGTTTCCCTTATGTCGGGTTAAGATGTACATTCTGCTCTTCTGGCTTTATTCATCCGGCCCTCTGTAAAAAGGCCACAGTGTGGAGTATCAGCAGCTCTGGTTGATCCTTCAATCTGTTTGCATTGAGAAGTCTGAGCTGAAATATGGGAATGTTTTGGCTATGGCCTTTGAGAGGACACAGTGGGAGCACTTCAGATCTGAGCCAGCACTGCATGAACAATATGTAAAGTTGCAATTTTGTGATGTTAACACTGGAGTGAACTAAATATTTGTGTGCCAAACAAAGCTGAAGTTGTATCGTTGACCAACCAGCAAAAGGAGATGAGTGTTTTATCAGGATCATCCATCAGCTCAGTTAGAAATTTCCACCTCTTACTGTTATCAGCTGGAATTATTATAAAAGGTGTGATCTCTCTTTCTCTCTCTCTGTTATGACTCGATTTTAAGTTTCTTTCATTCTGTGGAGAAATTGCCAAAGTCTGTCCACATCTAATAACAGCAATGTAAAATGAGACATTTTTTTAACACCAAAACAATATGTCAGACTTAGGGAGGACCATTTTAATACTGCTTTTAATAATTTACTGTCCCAAAAATGAATCGTCCATGATTGAAACTGATGGCAGATTGTCATTACAGGTGCTCTTTGTTGTGCAAAAACTTGGAAGGGGTTCCAATTATCTCGGGGATTTGCTAACGATAAACTGAGGACTTTATCATCTTCCTTATAACCCCTCGTTTAAAAAAAAAAAAATCTGAGCACTTTATGGGCTGAACTGCCCTTTGTTTCCATTTCGTAGAAGTAGAGATGTAAAGACAAATCTCTGCACTGGAAAACAGACACGACAAAACAAAACCACACCACTGAAGTGAAATATTTGCTAGAAACTTGAAGTAGAGAACAAAGGCTTGTTTATCTAGAAGAAATGTGATTAAAATAAGTGAAGAGGGAGAAAAGTGGAAATAGTTGTGAGAAAGAGAGAAATACAGGACAGAATGAGGGTGGTAAATTTTTCTCTTTTCATTCTCAATATTATTCTTTGTTTACATTTTAAAGTATTACAGCTGTTTGTCTGTTACCCATTGTGAGTAGTTATTCTTTACATTAATAAAAAAATGTTGACAAAAAAAATGGCTCTTCATTTTATTATTTTTGCTCTCTTTAAATTTGGTTTCATGTACAGCTGGTTAAATAAGCATTGCACATGCTGATTGTTTTTCATGTAAACGTGAGACTAAAGTTATTTTTAATACTGTAATACTTTTAGTTTTATGTTTGCATTGAAACAAATATTATCTTAGAAGAATTTTAATAAAAAAATTGAAAATACAAAAAATATATTATTATTATTTTGTCCATATTACCCATATTAATCAGGAGTGATTCGCCTGGTATTGAGTGTTGATGGTGCAAAGCAGTGCTGAGATTCAGTGGATTTATATACCATAGATTTTATCAATCTTTCTATCAACATATGAAAAAAATATGCACAGATATACAGATATAAATTTACCATATATCTATATACTTTATATTTTATTTCTGCAGAATTATCACATGTTGGTTGGTACCTGCAGTTTTATTATCAAAGTTCATAATGTGTGATGATGACTAAGTCATGAGGGTGTGCAAACAGCTGCCAAACTCCCACACATAAACACACAGAAAAACACACTGATATGCACACACACACATTTAGAAAAGCAGTAAAGGCAGCTGTTTCTGTTCGCGCTCAGTTATTCATCTACCAACACCATGAAAGGGAAATTTGTTGTGCTGGGACTTGTGCTTTTCTGTGTCGCAGCAGGTAAAACTAAGTATTTTTTTAGTAAAAATGTGTATTTTAACTGTGTTTTTTTAAAGTTTTTATATGAAAACTAGTTTAAACGATTTCAGCTCTGTTAATAACTAAGCCTACTTCGAATACGCTTATTTGATGGTAAAAACTACATTAAAGTCGACTGCTTAAAAAAGGAAGCATATGAAATCAATCGAAATTAACTTAATAAAAGATGCTTTAAGGTTTAAGTCTTGCTGGCTTAATGTATATAGATATCCAACACCTTATTTTGATATAAACTGTGATGTCAACAAAAATTTTATGCAAGTTTGTTTTATAGAAAGATAGATATATATATTTTACTGATTTTTTTTTAAAGATGCTGCAGTGAAGTCTGGACTCATGAAAAAGGTAAAATGAATTTTAGAAATAAACAGTTTTTTGTGCTCTGACTACAAGTTATATTAAACTCTTTCTAATATTTGACAGCCTACTTGTCGGAACGCGGACGAGAATAGGGCATGCCCAATGAACTTTGCCCCTGTGTGCGGCAGTGATGGAAACACCTATGCCAACGAATGTGCGCTCTGTGTGCAGAGACAGTGAGTCCACACAGCTGCTTCACACTTCATCCATCCACACACTGATTTTAAGTCACTTCATATGATTTTATTGAAAAAGAAATACTTTAGTTACCCCCTGGATGCAAACTAGGATACATCCAAAAAGTTTTCATGCTTAAAGAATCGCTCCTTTTTCTTTTTTTTTTTAAATATAGGTAAAAAATCAATCATTATGAGTGATGAAGATAATAAAAAAAAAAATTATTAAACCAAATAGAAAAAAACAACAAATTCCTATGTTACCTTGACACAAATATACATACCTAACACATAATGTTAGCTTTAAGAAAAGTAATTCCTCTTTTCTCATGAGTTGATGGTTTTCTTTGTTGAGCTACATTGCTAGAAAGAATGAATCATCTGCTGTCTGATGTCACGATTCTCTCCTCAGAGTAACCAAAACGGACATCATGATCGCCAAGGATGGAAGCTGCTAACCGGTGGTTATTAAGGCCATGTGAGGAGGCACAACAGGAAAATTACATCCACTGGCTGCAATAAAGTCAAAGTTTCAACCATCTGTTTGCTTCTGATTTATTCCTTAATATTGTGCAACAAGGTATGCCGTATAATGGGTACATAAGGCAGGTTAAAGAGATCAGTAATGCTGAGTATGCAATACGTACTGCCTTGCAAAAGTATTCATATCAGTTAAACATTTACATATTTTGCTGAGCTACAATCATTCATTGGATTTTATGTCATATGAACACAGTGCATCACATGAGCATGAAGCAGAAGAAAATAATAAACAGCTTACAGTTTATTAAGGATTAGAAAACCTAAAAGGTGTGGATCCGGACCCCACATGATTTAAAACATTTATAAATGTTGAGTCCGATGGCAGTGTCTAATTTCACTTGCGCAGCTTCTCCTATTTGTATGACAAAGCCCTCCAGAGTGTCTGGGACCAGGCTACACATGATATAAATTAGCCAATGAGCTTCTGTCAGTCTGGGTTGCTGCTTCTAGCTACTTTTACACTGTGTGTAGAATTATAAGGCAAATGAGTATTTCGACCACATCATTCTTTTCATACACGTTGTCCAGCTACCAATTAAATAAATCAGGTGATGTGCATCTCTGCAATGAGAAGGGGTGTGGCCTATTGACATCAACACCCTATATAAGGTGTGCTTAATTATATGGCAACTTCCTTTCCTTTGGCAAAATGGGTCAGAAAAAGAGATTCGACAGACTCTGAAAAGTCAAAAATGATCAGATGTCTTTCAGAGGGGTGCAGCAGTTTGGAAATTGCCAAGCTTTGCCAGGAAGCCATTAGCCACCAGTTGTGCCATATTTCAGAGCTGCAAATTTTCTGGAGTGACGAGAAGCACAAGGCAATATTCAATACTCAGGGACCTGGCCAAGGTAAGAAAAGCCGAAAAAAGGCCACCTTTGAACAAAACACACAAGACACGACGTCAAGATTGGCCAAAAAATATCTGTAGATTGAGTTCTCCAGGGTGTTTTGGTCTGATGAAATGAGAGCGAGTCTTGATGGGCCAGATGAATGGGCACCAGGCTGGATCAGTAAAGGGCAGCAAGTTCCTTATCGATTCAGATGCCAGCAAGGTGGAGGTGGGGTTCTAGTATGGGCTGGTATAATCAAAGATGATGAGCTTGTGGGACCCTTTCACGTTGATGATGGAGTCAAGATTTTTTTTATGTTTTTGAATGTCGCAAATGTTTATTTCTGAATTTTGAGTTGTTATATTGGTTTACCTGGTGAAAATAATTATGTTGCCTAATAATTCTGCATAGTAATGTTTACCTGCACACACAGACATCCTCATGAAACGGCCAAATCTAAAACAAAAAAAAACAGATTAACTTCCAAAAAATACGAAACGTTGATATTGAGGAGTCTTTTGGGTTGATTAAGAACACAATTGAGGCCCAATAATAAAAATATTCCTTAAAAATACAACTGGCCTAATAATTCTGCACACGGTGTAAGAAAGAAGGAGAAGACGATGAGAAAAAGAGAGCAGAGAAAGTGTGGACTGCTGGAAGAACTGTGGTGAACTGGTGACAGAAAAGTGAAATGGTGTGCTCAAACATGACCCTGCACATTTTGAGTATGTTTGGCTCAACCTGCTGCTGTGAAGCAAGATTCCCCACCGTGAACAGAATCAAAAACAAGTATCGATCCAGACACACGAATGAGCATGATATGTGCTTTAGAAAGGCTTTGTCGCCATTTAAATCCCAATTTTAAAAGCCTTGCAGGGCAGCCTAAAGCCCAGTTCTCTCATTAAGCCATAAAAAAGAAAAACGGTAAGTTCAGGTGTTTTATAAAATTTGTGAATCAGGAAATTGTCTATACACCAAACTGAAGGAGTGTTGTTCTCTACTCAAAAAAACACTTTAGATTTTAAAATGAAAGAATTTTCTATTTTCTTTTTATTTAAAAAGTCAATGTATATATATATATATATATATATACATATATATATATACCATTTCCATTTTTAAAGAAAAACACACCATATCATGATGCTGCCACCGCTATGCTTCATGTTGAGTCTTTTTAAAGTAATGTGCAGTGTGCTTTTATTTGGTAACACATAACCCTTAGCCCATAGCTCTTCTGTACCATAATGGTTGGTGAGTGTATGAAATTAATAACTGGGGATGTCTCAGTCTGAAATCTTGTGTGTTTGGGTTGTTATAGATACTGCAACATCCATCCATCCATCCATCCATCCATCCATCCATCCATCCATCCATCCATCCATCCATCCATCTTCTTCCGCTTATCCAGGGTCGGGTCGGGGGGGGGTAGTAGCTTCAATAGGGAGGCCCAGATGTCCCTCTCCTGTGCCACTTGGGCCAGCTTTTCCTGGGGAACCCCAATGCCTTCCCAGGCCAGCTGAAAAACAGTCCTTCCTATATGTCCTGGGTCTTCCTCTGGGTCCAGATCACCTCACCAGGGAGAAGCCAGGAGGCCAGACCAGATGCCCGATCCACCTCAACTGGCTCCTCACAACATGGAGGAGCAGCGGTTCTACTCTGAGTCCTCCCCGGATGACTGAGCTCTTCACCCTATCTCTAAGGGAGAGCCCAGACACACTATGGAGAAAACCGATTTCGTTCTATCAGTCATGACCCACAGTTCTTGACTATAGATGAGGGTAGAAATGTAGATCACCTGTAAATCAAGAACTTGGCCTTCTGGCTCAGATCTCTCTTCACCTCTTTTTTTTTAGCTGAGCTAAGTTACTAAGAACCACCTGATAATCAGAAAGTAACAACAAATAGTAGGTCTTAATCTTTGTATTTTATGCATCCAACTTGGTGAGGTTTGGAATCACAGAAAAACAGATAAATACTGAAATAGCTCACTTTTGTTCTAATACAGCAAACACGACACCTATATAGATATGAAATACAAACAACTCATCTCTAAAATACAGGGGCAGCATTAAATAAATACATTCAGAGTGTTAAAATAATGAAAAGTGCATGCAAATTTATTTATTAAAAAACTACAGTTAATTTTTCATGTAATAATCTAAAAGGTATATCTCATTATTTAATAGCACATTTTATAATTTAATGGAACATTTGTGTTTTTTTTTTTTTTTTACAATTCATTATTACGTCTATTAACGGCAGAATAAACTTACAGCTGTTTGTTTCTTTCCGTATTTCATTTTGTTCCCTTTAACTTTTTATATTGGGAATGAGGCCATCAATAATGTGAATGATAATAAGTCACTGTATCTAAAAAGAATCGTGCAAGGCACCCGGTGTCCCTTTACAAAGTTAGAGAGTAAAAAGGCAAAAAATTGTTTAAAGAAATTCTAAAAAGTTCTAGAAAATGAAGAACAAAATGTTTAAAAAAAATAGGAACATTCTGGTTGATAAGGATAAAATAAAAAGCTTGTTGGAACAGAAGTTTTTTTGGAGCAGGTGTTGAGAATGAAGAAAGTAATAATGTATGGGAGGTTAGGGGGAGGCTATACTAAGAGGAGCAGGTCAGCTAATGTGGTCAAATATGGTGAGTGAGAGTAGGCAGACCAAGGAGACCAGGAGGGATTGTTAGTGAGGAGAAGAGAGGAGGGAATGAGGTGATGGATGACTTTAAAAGAACAAAGCAAGACTTTGAATTCCAGTCGGCATCTGATTGGAAGCCACTGTTGAAGTAGGTCTGCAGGTATAATGTGCCTGTTGATTGGTATTCATTAGGGGACAGCAGCGTTCTGGACCAGTTGGAGCCCAGGAATGCATTTATAGGTGATAACAAACAGGAGGGAGTTATAGTATTCAAGACGAGGTGTGGATAGACAACATGTGACAAATACTGTTTTATAAGCTAACAGGAAACAACAGCTGCTGTGTTCAAACCACCAGTTCAAAATCCAAACTGATTAAACGGAGTTGCAGAACACAAAGAGGGGTTGAAAACAGTTAGGAATTCATAATAATATGATAATCATTGTAATAATTATTATTATGTCGATAATAATCATCCTAATAATAGTCCGGATGTGTTCATAACCATTACCAACGCTTGTCTTTGTAAATATTCTAGCCTCCAGTGAAGGTCAGATGTCAGAAATGCACGTATTAGTTATCGTGTTTCCAGATATAGTTGCTCCTCTGGTTAGCCCTGTCTTTGCTTTGACTGTCATTGTATGTAGATAACCACGCTTTGTTGTTTGTATTTGTCCCACAGTCTTTCCATTTTAGTACGTAGACTGAACAGTGGTCTCTGAGATATTCATAGCTTTGGATATAGCATGTTGTGGGGAGTGATTGTCTAGTGGTTAGAGCAGTTCGCTTGTGCTCTGAGAAGGTTGCAAGTACCAGGTTCGATCCCCACAGCCTGCACTCTGGGTCCCTGAACAAAACCCTTAACCCCACACTGCTCCCCGGGCGCCACACAGCTCCCCACTTGGAATTTCTCCATTGTGGGACAATAAAGGGATTTACATTACATTTCAGTAACCTAACGGTGCTTTAAACTACTCCTAAATCTTAATCCATCTTATGTTCCTTAGTCTTTGTGTTCACTTGTGTTTTTGAACAAACCTCTAAGCTTTTCTGACCACTATTTTTAAACATTACTGGGGTGAATCTGAATTTTTATTGGATTTCATTTAAAGATAATAAAATTTATACGTGCAACATTTTTCAGGTTTTACTTGTAAGTAAATCGTGAATTTGCTTCCTTCCACTTAACAATACCGCTCTGTGTCAGTCCATCACATAAAATACCAAATAAAGTAGTTTTATGTTTGTGGTTTTATTGGGACCAGTAAAAAAATATGTATGGCTAGCTTTAAAAGCCCCAGTATTAAGTAAAGTCTGGTATGATAATTTAGCCTAAACATAAATTCATTCCACGACCCAAAACGCCTCTGTAATGAACATATATTGGTCTTTGTAGAGAGAAAGCAGCTGGTGGATGATTTGCTGCTTATCTCAGTGGCTGAGCTCACTGTTTACATTCCTCATACTCAGTAACACCGCGGTCAATATCACTTGTGTGTTTGTCAGAGGAGAGAGATATGTGGCTAGAATGGGGAAGTGTGGGAAAGGCTTTGCAAACAGTTTGGCGAGTGGTACTGGACACAGGATATAGAACAAAAAGAAAATGGCTGAATCCGGGGGTCAAAGGTCAAATATGTCACATGGCGAGCACCAGGAAATTGAGATGTGCTTTCAATCCCCGGTCACTTCCCTTCTCTTTAGAGTTGAACAGAAACAAGGATTTCTTGACTTCATTGGGCAGCCTTATCAAGGATGATAAGAAACTCAGAGGAACATGTGTGAGTACAGACATCTACAAAGCATTTAATGAGGGTGTTTTTCCACCTTTCACACTCAGTTCTTTAAGTATGGCATTTATAAATCGCAAAAGTGGAGCCGTGTTTGTTGACAGGCTCATCGCTTTAAACAATGATAAGGTGCATTATGTAAAAAAGTAATTGTGTTGTCTCCTCAACCTTTGATCTACCATGAACATTCAATGCAGTAATCTCGTCTCCTATTCTGTCCAATATGCTCATTTATTGCCAAACTTTATATTAGTCTTATGTTGCTTCATGTCCGTGTTCCTACAGACTCCCCAGTGTTTCTGCAATTGAAGAATGTAAAAATAAAATCTCAATGGACCTTTTCCTCCACCTTTCTATCATCCCAGCAGTAAGTTATCGGTTTCTGTCTGTTTACAGTAGATAGAATATACCCCATTCCCCCTTAAATTTAAGAAGATTGCATGATTTTTGATAGATTTGGGAAAAAAAAGGTACTTCTTTTTCAATCTTTCAATCAAACACAACATGTCCAATATGTAAACATAATATATAAAAACAGCAAATCAAACAACAAACCTTAACATCCCAGCACAAGTGCATTAATAATATTTAATCTAATTTTATACAGCTGTTTTGTTTTTTCTTGTGGGGAGGGTTATAACTGCTATGGTGCTCTGCCTATACAACTTGCGTTTGGTTATTCAAAACTTTATAACTTTAAAACTTTGATAATTTATTTATGTTTGCTGTATTTTTCGCTTTCTGTGAAACCTCATCACCAAAAGAAATTCCTTGTATGTATAATATACTACTTGGAAATAAAAGGCATTTTCTGATTCTGATCTAAAAAATTAATATAATTTTTTTTGAGTTAATGTTTTTTTATGATTAAAAATAAAAAAAATAATAAATTATAATTTGAAAATAAAATCTCCTGCATCTTTTTTTTCATTTCAGCAATATATTTGTTTTCATAATATACAGCAAATGAGACAAAACCAAAAAAATCTTTATTTTCAAATGGTTTCATGTTTACACCTTAATATGTTTTCTTTAATAAAACATAAACAGCTTTGATGAATATTCTTCATCAGTACAGTCAATGTTTTTTTTCTTTAAATAATTAGGACTAGATTTAGTTTAGGTATCATACAGTTTTTACTTAATTTTCTGTATCATACTGTTTTTACTTAATTCACATTGCATATATAACATGTAGGAGGAGCCTGCAGTGAAACATTACAGTAAATCATTTAACTGGTTCATCCTATCAAGTTAATGATTTCAATAAACAACCAACTTGAACATAAAAAACTTGAATAGGTAGCCTCCTTGGCACATTTTCCTCTTTAATGAAATTACCTGTAGATCATTTTGCTCATAACATTTCTTTGTGGCTCTCTAACAGTCACATGGAGATGAAACGTATAGTTGTGTGTTTGTTCATGGAAGCTTAGCTTCATCAGATCAATTTGCCTGTGCTACTTAGAAAATAATAATAAAACCCTAAAATCTACCCAGGCTGTAGCTGGCCTAAACTCAGAGGGAGTGTTCCAACCACAGGGATTAGGATTGGATGTTAGTCAGGTGCTTCAATTCTGGTCATTAAAAAAAAAATACTGGATTTATGTGTATTAGGAATATGTGCAATACATATGAGGTATGTTATTACCCGATAGCAGTTTCTTTATTTTTGCAGCTTGGAGTCCAAGACAGTTTTCCCAAGAGGGACAATGAAGTGCATTGTATCGTAACCCGATCTCACATTTTAGGCACATCTTCGCTTCCCCATCTTAAACAACTAAAAAGGATGTCTGAAGTGTATTCAAAAAGAAATACAGCAAGCACTACAGATTTCTGAAACTGTTAGCAAGTCAAAGAAATGTCTAACTTGACAATATGTTAGCTAATTTCCATGATAACAGCATTTTTAAAATTATACTAATTTATTTCCAGTAAGTAAGAATAATTTGTGAGGCTGGTTAAATGATAGGAGCTTTTATCTTGTCCACAGGTCCTGATTACAGGGGTCCTGTCATTTCTTCAGAGACGAGCTAAGAGACTGGGCATTGACCACAGACTGCCTTTTCTAAATGGACGTTTTGGTATTGTAGTGTAAGTCAAAAACCTCTAACATTATTTAAGAAAAAAATCAGACTTTTGTAACTTGGTTTTATCTGTCATTCAGTTCTGTTTCTCTGTGACCCAAATTACTATTACATTCACTGTTATTTTGTATTAACATCTTTTTACCAACTTTCCTGCAGGCCTTTGGACACAATAGGCAGCCTTAGTAACCGCTGGTCCTATGGCTTTGCATTTGGTGCAGTGTCAAGCAGCGTTTTGCTGCTCTTCTCTGAGCGTTATGTACCCTTTACAGTCCCACCATGGGCCAGAGGTACTCTGTGTTTCTATTTTATGTCAGTATCCTATAAGAGATAAATGCACTGAAGTCTCTGACACTTTGTTTTCTTCCTACCCTCAGCAATAGTGTACCTCATCGGAGCTTTAGAAGTGGGTCTGGTGTATTTCCCATTTTTTGCCTGTCTGTCCACACCATTCAGAATGGCCGGGGCGATCCTGGGAATACTCTACTCAGCAGCCTGGTATGCCTTCATGTATATGTTCTGTACCGTAGGATTTTCAGTACCTTGCTTAAAGAAATAGTGAAATACAAAAAATACAATTGTATATTTAGTATCCTTGTTGCTCTTTGTAGGATCTTGGTAACAGTTTGGGATACAGCTACATGTCCTGGTGGAGAGGTTGGTAGCTAAAAAAAAGGATTTCTGTCATACAGTTTCTAATAAAAATAAGTTTTCTACTAAATTTCATTCCAATTGTCTGCAAAACATGACATTATCAGTTTGTTTAAATTTATTTTACATTTCATGAGAAATTGTTTCATCAAATCTGTGTGATTTTGAAGGTTTTAGGTAAATACCAGAAGGTAATTTCACAGTGGCCCTGCATCCTCTCACTTCTCTTCCTCCTGGGACGATTTGTCTACATATTTGTTAAAGATGTCCGCATACGTCTTCAACTGGAAACAGAGGTTAGCAAAGGAGAATTAGTCCTTCAAACAATGTTTGTTTGTTTATTTTAGAGTAAAGACAACCATATGAGATTCCACATCAGACGATAAATGATAAGGTTACAGTGCATATTTATTTCTGCTCTTTGTTATTTCTTTATCAGGATAAATTGATACCTCCACTTGCCAATGCTTTTTGCTAATATTGAACAATATGTGCATTCAATTGCCTATTCATAAGTGCATTTTAGCAGCTATGTCTTGAGATCATGTAAGAAACATCAATTGCAGCTTTCTATCTGTTGCTTATACATAGCTCAAAAAAGGGAACGCATAAACAACAGGATATAACATCAATGAAATCACATTTCTGTGAAATCAAACTGTCCACTTAGGAAGCAACACTCATTGACACTCACTGTTGTGCAAATGGAATAGACAGGTGGAAACAAGTAGAAAAATTTTTGGCAATTAGCAAGACACACTGAAAAATTGAGTGGTTCTGCAGGTAAAGACAATAGACCACTTCTCAGTACCTATGCTTTCTGGCTGACGTTTTGGTCCCTTTTGAATGTTGGTGGTGCTTTCACACTTGTGGTAGCATGAGACTGATTCTACAACTCACACAAGTGGCTCAGATGGTGCAGCTCATCCAGGGTGGCACATCAATTCGAGCTGTGGAAAGAAAGGTTGCTGTGTCTGTCAGCATAGTGTCCAGAGGCTGGAGGTGCTACCAGTAGATAGGCCAGTAAACCAAGAGACATGCAGGAGCCTGTGGCAGGGCAACAACCCAGGAGCAGGACTGTTACCTCCGCTTTTGCCCAAGGAGTAACACTGCCAGAGCCCTGCAAAATGACCTCCAGCATCCCACAAACAGAAGCTGACTCCATGAGGATGGTATGAGGGTCTGACATCCATAGATGGGGGTTGTGCTCACAGCCCACACACCGTAGAGGATGCTTGGCATTTGCCATATAACACCAGGATTGACAAATTCCCCACTGGCGTCCTGTGCTCTTCACCGATAAAAGTAGGTTCACACTGAGCACATGTGACAGACATGTCAGAGTCTGGAGACACCATGAAGGGCAATCTGCTGCCTGCAACATCTTTCAGCATGACTGGTTTGGAAGTGGGTCAGTAATAGTGTGGGCTGGCATTTCTTTGGATGGCCACACAGCCCTACATGTGCTCACCAGAGATAGTATGACTGCCACTAGGTCCTGAGATGAGATCCTCAGACCCCTTGTGAGACCATATGCTGCGTTTTTTGTTGTGGGTTTATCCTAATGCAGGACAATGCTAAACCTCATGTGGCAGTAGTTCCTGCAATATGAAGATATTGAAGCTATGGACTGGCCCGCCTGTTCCCAAGACCTGAATCCGACTGAGGACATCTGGGACATCATGTTTCCATCCAACCACCAACGTTACTTTGCACCACAGACTGTCAAGGAGTTGGCAGATGCTTTGGACAAGGTCTGAAAGGAGACCATCCGCCACCGCATCAGGGGTGTGCCCAGCTTTTGTATGGAGGTCACACAGGCATGTGGAGGCCACACACAATACTCAGGCCTGTTTTAAGGACTTTGCATCAAAGTTGGATCAAGCTCTAGTGTGTTTTATCCACTTTTATTTAGTGTTTGACTCCAAATCCCTGTCTCCATCGGTTAATATACATTTCATTTCCATTGATAATTTTTGTGTGATTTTGTTGTCAGAACATTCAACTTTATACAGAACAAAGTATTCAATGAGAATATTTCCATTATTCAGATCCAGGTTTCCTTTTTTTAATAATTGAAACTTGCAAGGTATTTGTTATCATTATGTGATCTTTATCATGTTGAGGGAGGAAGAGAAATCAATACTATTGGCCCCAAAGGACATATTGAGGATAGCTATAATATAACTATATATTGACCAGTTATCTAACAAGAAATTTTAACATCCTGAATCTGTTGCCAGAATCTTGAGGAGCTGGTTGGTCTACACCAAGCGAAGCATGTTAAGCGGCTACTGAGTAGAACACCTGAACACAGGTAAATCCCACACATCAATATCAACTTTGATTTTGGCATTCATCTACACACAATCCAAAAAAAACAAAAAAACAGGAACATGTTAGAACTCGTTAGGACTTTTTACAAAGTCCATCTAATTTCTTCACAGTTTGAGAAATTTAAACTGTGTTGTATACACTAGCAATAAAAAAATTATAATTCAAAGCCGTACGTGGCGTTGGGAGGCCCTTGTATCTTAGTGCCGCTTGGCCTATTGTTACTATTGGAGCCATGCAACATTTTTCCCATGCCTATGCCAATGTGGTCCAAATCTGATGCAGCGCAAATAACGAGCTTCCAGCATTAAAACATGAGACTCTTTGTTCTCAGGGGGCTGGGCTGAACTGATCTAATCAAATTAGCATCTCTGTTTAATGAATGTTGGTCCCAGATGACAAAAGGGAAAAAACTTTACTCCTCTGACCTCACATATTAAAATTATAACACAATGATATTGTATGGCTCCACAAAAAGCTTGTGATACATTTTGATCTCTGTTGCATTAAATCTTGGTTCAGTCAGGTAGAAGTATGTAACTCAAAAGTTGTAGGTGGACTTTGCTCAGATATTACGTTAAAGTAAAAAAAAAAAAGCAAACTACAGGCTTTGATTCAAAATGTGTGCAAAAGTTTATAATTATCAGTCAACGCATGGTCTGAGGCTTATCTTTTGTTTTATGGCAAAGTGAACAATTCTGATACTTGGCCACGCCTACATGCTTTGATGTTGAAAAATTATTTTGATAACTCTTTATCCCCAATACCTAAGGTCATTAAAGAGTGAATTTGTTGTCTAAATTAAAAAGACTTGTGGAGGAGTTCGCTCAGATATGACATGATTAACTGAGTGAAAATGGCACCTTTGATCCAAAATGGCCACCTTCCTATAGGGTTTGGACTATGACTCTATGAGACTATTTTGTAGATCCTGAAGGGATACACATGTGTGTAAAGTTTTGTAATCCTCAGTATACGCATGGCTTGGGGCTGGATTTTTTAGTATTTCTAAGGGGCGCTGTAGAGATATTAAATTGGATTCCTGTGTGGGGTTGGACTAGGATCCATTATAATGATTTTGTTCCAGATTCAAAGCTCTATGTGGATTTGAGAGCCAAAAGAATGGTCATGGTGATACGCCTAACTTCACCATACCACCATGGCAATGCTGTTGAAGATTCCTTCTGCCTTAAACAAAGTTACATCAACATATAATCTTTCTTCTGATCTGGTTTCAAGTTAATAGGGTTACAAATGACAGAAAGGGAACCCCTCAAATATAAAAAGTGACTTTCTTTTCTCAGGGGGCGGAGCCACCAAAGGAGAAAATACTACCAAACTTGGTTCAATTTGGATTATTTTTGTAAAAGTTACTGCATTTCAAATTGCTTGAAAAGTAAAGCCACCCCCCATCAACATATTCAAAAACCCATGATCACTTTAAATCTCATATGCCTTATCTGACTGAGAACCTTCACCAGCTTATCTGCATACTGACCAAGTGGTGGCTTAAAATCCCTAGGAGGAGTTTGTAAAAGTTTGACATGAACAAAAACAAAAAATTGACATATGAAACAAAATGGCCATCTTCTAGGGCATATCTCTAGCAGACTTTTTTTTTCATGATTTAGGGAGATCAACCTATGTTCTATCAAAATATGTACATTTTACAAAGGGGAATTTTTCCTGTGAAGTTTAGTGAGCTGTAGAATATGTTAAAGCCGCCAAATAATTATTAATAGTTAATAATAATTTAATTCAGGAGAAAAATACTAAACATTCAAATTAAAATAGGGCTTTGCTTTTTTTTGCATGGGCCTGAAAATAGCGCAACAATATCTAAGAAACCAAATTAATCAGATTAAAAAAGCTGTCCATTTCTCACATAACATTTTAATGGAATAAACTTGCAGGTCATTTGCTAACTGACTCGCTCTTTATTTTTCAGTGAATCCCTCAACTGGTTGGAAAGACGAGTGTATGAGTGGGACCCTTACTTCAAGTTTCCAAACCGGATCATTGGCACCGCCATTATATCCCTTATAGGCCTATATACGGTGCAGAAAAATTACCAATAAAACTTATATAAACAATCTATAAACAATGTATTGAGTTGAATTTGTAATAATTTTCACCAACAAGTGAATTCCACTTTTTTGTGTCCTCTCTAATATTCTTCTAGATGACACTAGCAGACTATAGCCTCAGTGATGCTGCCTTTGACAGAATGGAAGACTGGAAGAACAATCTGAAAGAGGTCGTTACCTCTTGTAACCAAACACAAGCTTTGGGATACATGATACCGCAACTTGAAGAGTTCATTGACGTGGCCAGGAGTGAGTTACCCCATTATACCAAAAAAAAAGCAAAAAAACTTTTGTGATCATTTGGATTTAACAATTCTTTACACTCTCTTAAGTGTTAATCATTTTGGTTTGCTTAAGAGTCTTGGCTTGCCACCACCATCTTTGCCAGTCTTAACTCTGTTGCATACACTTTCCATATCTTGGCCTGTTACAGGTAAGATAAGAAAATCTATGTAAGGACTCATAGAATCTTAATATCTAGAATTTCTTTTTGGAGAAAAAAAGCAGTTTTAAAAATATTTGTAATGGGCGCATTTCAAAAGTCTGCGCTGATAATATTACCCTTCTACTTCAGGAAACACATAAAGAGACTGTGGAAGGGTCAGAAAGGGTTCCTTCCAGAGAGGTTCCATGATCCCAAGCCTGCTGTTAGTGTTGTGAGTAAAAGACACATTAACACAAGCATCAGATGTGGCGCCATTGAGTTTGTTCCCGTTTATATGTTTTGTTAACATTAAAACTGCTTGAGTTTTGAAGATATATGGATATATAGACATTTTGAAACTGAGCCCAACCAGATTTGAATAAACTGTACTAATAAAATTAGGAGTATGGCATTTTTGGTGTAATTTGAATTTAATTAAAAGGACAATGCATATTAACATCCCAGTACAACAGTACAATTGGCCAGAGTTACCCAAAGCTAGTTTTCATCTATAGTCCTTTGTGAAAAATGCACACTGAAATGGTTTATAGCAAATTAATGCATTGCAAGAAAATTCAATGCATAGATTAACCAGTTTTTGCTGCAGAAACAGGAAGGCAATAATAAGAACAAACAAGAAATAAAAATGTAATGCAAAGTAGCAGATGTTGTAGAATACATTTAGGAGCAGGTAAGAGGTTAAAATTATTCTTTAAAAAACTCATTAAAACATCAGTTATCTTAATGAAGAGACTAAATCATTAAGGCAGACTTATTGAAAAATTGGTATTATACGGTTTTAAATAAGCATTTAAATTCATAAGTTAAGAGAACGTACATTTATTACAATGCCAAACTTTACCTTCACAGGCTTCCATTGCAAGATACTCTGGATGGCAAATAGCTTTCACTTTATGGGGTAAGCCTTTTTAAATAAATATGTAAAAACAAACAACTGTTATTTCGATTTTATAGTTCATGCAGGCAAAGCATTTTAACGTTTTTGATCAACATCAAATTTGTTTACTTGCTTTTATTCCTCAGGACCATTTGCTGTGTTGTATACTTACATTGGAGTCAATGATTAGAAAGAAAATAACTAGGTACATTACTTTCTGAAATCCTTTTTTTAAAATGTATCTCTGTCATTTTTCCTTTAGGCTACCTGATTGTTCATTTTGTCCACTTCTTGTTTGTGCTGCTGTTTGTCTACTTGCTGGTTCTTCCCATACAGAATGGAAAAGTACTGGCCATGCTGTCAAACCTGGGACTCATTCTGTAAGACCACTTGATCTATGATTGCTCGTTTCTACTGATGGTCCCTGTCACTGAACTTGACCTTTCTGGTTTGTCTCTCAGTTTGACCATTGGAATAGTGGTCGCCTTGGTAATCCTCCAGGTAGTTCTGGTTCAAATCTTTTTTCTTCAAGACAAAATGTCCCCCACAGATAAGCAGAAACCTCTGGCTCTCAACAACAGGTTGGTATCTTTGAAATGTAAAGTTAACAGTTAAAACATAATACTTTATCCAAGTGTAACTAATGACCCAGAGGTCTGGGGGTGGGTATTGACAAAGAGTAAAACACTGATTAAACATACACCTATGAGTCTAAAGCTATAAAGCACTTCCCCATTTTCATCCCCAGGTTTAGGTAAATACTTAACAGGCTCAATTACATTTGGAATTAAAATTAAATGATCTAAAACAGGGGTCTTCAACGTTTTCAAAGCCAAGGACCCCCAAACTGATTGCGAGATGGAGCGGGGACCCCCTAATTATATACTGTATATTGTATGTAATG